TTTATATATAGTATAATATATAAATAAAATTTTCAGCTATGCAAATCCATAATTTAATCTAATAATATTAAATGAGTTTTTCACTAATTTTGTTTTTAATTGGAGTATTAGGTTTCGTTTTAAACAGAAAAAATATAATACTAATGCTTATTTCAATTGAAATAATGTTATTATCAATTACATTCTTAATATTGATAAGTTCATTAAGCTTTGATGATATATTAGGTCAAACTTTTTCTATATATATAATAGCTATAGCAGGTGCAGAATCAGCAATAGGATTAGGTATATTGGTAGCATTTTATAGATTAAGAGGAAGTATAGCAATAGAATATAAATAATGTATCTAGCTTTAATTATATTACCAATATTAGGTTCAATAGTTTCCGGATTTTTTGGTAGAAAAGTCGGTGTTAGCGGATCACATATAATAACATGTACATGTGTAATGACAACAACAATTTTAGCAATCTTTGCTTTTATAGAAGTAGGATTGAATCAATCATCAACTACTATAGATTTATTTAGATGAATAGATGCAGAATCTTTAAATGTAAAATGAGCATTTAATTTTGATTCATTAACAGTATCTATGTTAATACCAGTATTAATAGTATCATCTTTAGTACATCTATATTCAATAGGGTATATGAGCCATGACCCTCACAATCAAAGATTTTTCAGTTATTTAAGTTTATTCACTTTTATGATGATTATCTTAGTAACGGCAGATAATTTTTTACTAATGTTTGTCGGTTGAGAAGGTGTGGGTGTATGTTCATATTTACTAGTTAGTTTCTGATTTACAAGAATAGCGGCAAATCAAAGTTCATTGTCAGCATTTTTAACAAATAGAGTAGGTGATTGTTTTTTAACTATAGGTATGTTTGCAATATTATGATCATTTGGTAATTTAGATTATAATACAGTTTTTTCTTTAGCTCCATACTATAGTGAAAATGTTGTTATTATTATCGGTATTTGTTTATTAATTGGTGCTATGGCTAAAAGTTCTCAAGTAGGTTTACATGTTTGATTACCTATGGCGATGGAAGGTCCTACTCCAGTTTCAGCTCTTATACATGCAGCAACTATGGTTACTGCTGGTGTATATTTATTAATGAGAGTTTCTCCATTAATAGAATATAGTTCCTTAGTATTATTATTGTGTCTATGATTAGGAGCAATTACAACTGTGTTTAGTTCTCTTATAGGTTTATTTCAACAAGATATAAAAAAAGTTATAGCTTATTCAACTATGAGTCAATTAGGTATGATGGTTATAGCTATTGGTTTATCTTCATATAATATAGCATTATTCCATTTAGTTAATCATGCTTTTTATAAAGGTCTATTATTTTTAGGTGCAGGTGCAGTAATTCATGCTGTTGCAGATAACCAAGACTTTAGAAAATATGGTGGTTTAATTTCTTATTTACCTCTTACTTATTCAGTTATGTTAATAGCTTCTCTTAGTTTAGTTGCCTTTCCTTTTATGACAGGTTTCTACTCTAAAGATTTTATAATTGAATCTGCTTTTGGTAAATACTATATATCTAGCATAATTGTTTATTATATAGCCGTTATAGGTGCAATGTTTACTACACTTTATTCAGTTAAAGTTTTATACTTAACTTTCTTAACTAACCCTAACGGACCTTTAGTTAATTATAAATCACACGGTGCTCATGAAGGTGATATATATATGAGTTTACCTTTAATTATATTAGCTATATTTTCTATATTTTTTGGTTATATTACTAAAGATATTTTTATAGGTTTAGGTTCAGATTTTTTTTCAGATAATAGTTTATTTATACATCCTAAACACGAAATTATGTTAGATACAGAATTTGCTGTACCTACAATCTATAAATTATTACCTTTATTTTTTACTATTACACTAAGTATTCTGTCTATAATTTTTACTGAGTTTTATCCTAAATTAGTTATTAAATTTAAATTATCTAAATTAGGTTATAATATATTTAGCTTTTTCAATCAACGTTTCTTAGTAGAAATGTACTATAATAAATATATTTCAGGTCTTATTTTAGATTTAGGTGCTCAAACTACAAAGATTATGGACAAAGGATCAGTAGAAAACTTTGGACCTTATGGTTTAGAAAAAAAAATTACAGATATAAGTAAATCTATTAATATTTTAAGTACAGGTGTTGTTACATCCTATGCTTTATATATATTAGTTGGTCTTATTTTTTACATATCTATTTTATACTTAACAAATAATATTGATGATTCTTTATTATTTATTGTTATTATATTTACAATCCTTAACACTAAAGATTTTAAAGGAGAGGAAGTAAAAAAGTACTTTTAGAAAAGACCGATATGGTTTTAAAAAATCTAATACACAAGGGAAAAATTTATATTAATTTTATTAATATTTTTAGTTGTATATTATTAATATCATTCAACCTTATTTTGTACTTTAATTTTTCTAATGTATTATTTAAGGATTTTATTTTAATAGCACTATTTTTTTATATTCTAAAAAAATTGTTAGTTCTTATGTTTATTCTTGCTATAAAACATGATGATATTAAGGATAGTGAGACTCTATTTAAAAGAATAATTTATAGTTTATTACCTTTCGGGTTTATATTATCTGAAATAGGTATTATTGTTTTTGATATTTATATGCAATCTTCTTTAGGTAAACGTATGTTTGATGCAAATGTATCTGTTTTTGAAGCTTATCGTTCATATCATTTAAGAGATTATTTTAATTATTTAAATGCACAATATAGAGAATATTGTAGATTAGAACGATCAGGACAAAGAGATTTAAATGAGGATCTTTCTAATGTAATTACAAAAGTTAGAAGAGATAGAGATCCAGAAAGAACACTTACTCTTACTGATATTTTTGCAGTTAAGCGTATGGGTTCTATTGAAGGTTATAATAACGAAATCTCTAGAGTACTTAAAGGTTTATCTAACGGAGATTCTATTGGCCGTCGTAATTATCCTACATACTCTTGAGCATCTAGATCTGGACCATGACGTCAAGTTGCAAATGAATTAGAATTAGTTAATAATATAAATATCGCTGAAAAACAAACAAGAACAATTAGAGCAAGAATGAGAATAGAAAATGTGCTAAATTAATTATGTGTATTATTTGTTTTAAACCGTATCGGTCTTAAAATAAAAAAAAAATTATACTTGTATATAAGCAATTTATGAAATTCCATTAGAATTTATAACAATTTAAAAATATTTATAATATGGAATATAGATATATATATAAATATGATTTGATTAATACCTATATTAGAAGTTGTGTTAGTTATAGTACCAGCTTTATTAGTAGTAGCATTTACAACTATAGCAGAAAGAAAAACAATGGCAAGTATGCAACGTAGATTAGGACCTAATATAGTTGGATACTATGGTTTATTACAAGCATTTGCCGATGCATTAAAATTATTATTAAAAGAATATGTAGGTCCAACACAAGCTAATTTGATATTATTCTTTTTAGGACCTATTATAACATTAATATTTGCTTTACTAGGTTATGCAGTGATACCTTATGGACCTGGTTTATCTGTAGGAGATTTAGGCTTAGGTATTTTATATATGTTAGCAGTTTCATCTTTATCTACTTATGGTATTTTATTAGCAGGTTGATCAGCTAATTCTAAATATTCTTTTTTAGGATCTTTAAGAAGTACAGCACAATTAATTAGTTATGAATTAATATTGAGTTCAGCTATACTATTAGTTGTTTTATTAACTGGTAATTTAAATTTAACTGTTAATGTCGAAGCACAAAAAATAGTATTTTTTGTTTTACCATTATTACCAGTATTTATAATATTCTTTATTGGATCAATAGCAGAAACTAATAGAGCTCCTTTTGACTTAGCTGAAGCAGAATCTGAATTAGTTTCAGGTTTTATGACAGAACATTCTGCAGCAATATTTGTATTCTTCTTTTTAGCTGAATATGCAAGTATTGTTTTAATATGTATATTTTCAAGTATTTTATTTTTGGGTGGTTATTTAACATTTTTTTCATTTGATTCTTTAATTAATATCCTGTACTTTTTTAATATTGAATTATATTTAGCTGAAAATAGTTTAAATATATTCTCTATTTTATTTCAAGGTTTAATATATAGTTTAAGTTTAGGTTTAAAATCATCATTACTTATATTTATTTTTATTTGAGTAAGAGCATCATTTCCTAGAATACGTTTCGATCAATTAATGTCTTATTGTTGAACTATATTATTACCTATTATTATTGGATTTATTATATTACTACCTTGTATAGTTTATAATTTATCTTTAATACCTAGTAATTTTTACTTAATTTAATTTATTAAAGCTTAATCTTTAATTTATAATAAAAATAAAAAAATATTATTATAAGGTGAATTAATTTAATGGAAAAATTATGTGCTACGGACACATTAATATAGGTTCAAATCCTATATTCACTATTTACAAAGTTTTTACGTTTTTTCATTAAATATTGCGTATTATTTTTAATTAATATATTTAAAATACTTTGTAAACAAACCATTTAAAAATTTAATTTTTTAAATAATTTAAAAATAAAAAAGATAACATAATTGATAAGATAAATCACTAGACTAATACATAAAATAAAAATTAAAACATGATATTAACATTTCTATTATTATTATTATTCTCTAATGGTTTAAGCAACAGACCAGATACATCAATTTTATACAGTCGTATAGGTATATTAATAATATTTTATAGTTTAATATCTACATATACAACATTATATATAACATATTTAGATAAAGGAATAGGGTTATATGGAGGATTATTTAATATAACAGCTGTAACACAAGTATTCCAAATATTTATATTAATAGTATGTGGTATTATATTATCTATGACAAGTTTTTATCCAAGAAAAAGATATATAGGAGATTCTACTTCTATGATAGATACATTATTTAAAAAAGTAAAACAATATGTAAATATAATAAATAAAGTATCTGAGCAATTCACAATAATAGAATATGCATTAATAATAATATTCCTTATAAGTGGTGCATCATTATTATTAGCTAGCGGAGATTTAGGATCTATATATTTATGTATAGAATTACAAAGTTTTAGTTTATATATAATCTCATCAATGCACAGAAATTCAGAGTCTTCAACTGGATCTGCTTTAACATATTTTTTATTAGGTGGTTTAGCTTCATGTTTTATATTACTAGGTATAGGATTAATATATGCAAATTCAGGTTTAACTAATCTAGATGGTATATATTCTATTATTTCAGATTCAGAGAAATATATAAACTATTCTACATGATATGTGCATAGTTACGTATTTTATAGTTTATTATTAATATCAGTAGGGTTTTTATTTAAAATAGGAGCTGCACCATTTCATTGATGATCACCTGATGTATATGATGGTGTTCCAACAATAGTGACAGTTTTAATAGCATTAATGGGGAAAATAGCAATATTAGTATTACTTTTAGAATTAGTACAATATACTAGTAGTCTATTACATTCAGCTATACAATATTATTCATGAACAACTAGTTTATCTATAAGTTGTTTTTTATCTTTAATAATTGGAACAGTTTTAGGTTTAACACAAACAAGAATAAAAAGATTATTAGCATATAGTACTATATCACATATAGGATTTATGTTATTAGCTCTTATTGTACATAGTATTGATTCATACCAGGCATATATATTTTATATAATTCAATATATTATAACAAATTTAAATGCTTTTTTAATAATAATTGCAATAGGTTTTAGTTTATATTTATATTATACAAATATATCTGAATATAATAATTTACCAGAAAAAAATAATAGTCCGATACAATTAATAAGTCAATTAAAAGGTTATTTTTCTATTAATCCTGTATTAGCTCTATGTTTAGCTATTACTATGTTTTCATTTGCAGGATTACCACCTTTAATTGGATTTTTTGGAAAACAGATGGTGTTAACAACAGCATTAGATAATAATAAAACAATCTTAGTATTAATAGGGGTTTTAACAAGTGTTATAGGAGCAGTATATTATTTAACAATAGTTAAAACTATATATTTTGATAAATCACAATATGAAAAAACTTACATGTACTTAGATGTATCTATATCTAATATTTTTTCTATAACACTAAGTATAATAAATTTAGGTGTAGTTAGTTTTATACTAATACCAGATGAATTATTAAATCTATGTAATCTATTATCCATAATAACATATTCAATTAGTTAAATTCTTATTAGAGAATAAAATATTTATACTTGACTTATTTAGTGCGTAGTAATTTTCAAGCTCATCCATACCATTTAGTTTCTCCTAGTCCTTGACCATTAAATACTAGTATATCATTATTAACTCTAACACTTAGTGCCGTATTAGCTTTTCAAAATTTTAGCTTTGGTATTAATAATTTATTCATTGCTTTATTAACTTTAATCTTATCAATGTCTTTATGATTTAGAGATATAATTTCAGAAGGAACTTATTTAGGAAATCATACTTTAGCTGTTCAAAAAGGACTAAATATGGGAGTAGCTTTATTTATAGCTTCTGAAGCTTTATTTTTCTTAGCTATTTTTTGAGCATTTTTCCATAGTGCTTTATCTCCTACAGTAGAATTAGGTGCAAAATGACCACCAATGGGTATAGAATCTATAAATCCTTTCGAATTACCTTTATTAAATACTATTATTCTATTATCTTCAGGTGTTACAATAACTTATTCACACCATTCTTTAATACAAGGTAATAGAAGTGGAGCTTTATACGGGTGTGTTTATACTATTATTTTAGCTACAATATTTACTATTTTCCAAGGTATTGAGTATACAGTATCATCATTTACTATATCAGATGGTACATATGGATCATGTTTTTATTTTGGAACAGGTTTCCATGGATTACATGTTATGGTTGGTACAGCATTTTTAGCCGTAGGTTTTTGAAGAATGTTAGCTTACCATTTAACTGAAAATCATCATCTTGGTTTTGAATCAGCTATATTATACTGACATTTCGTTGATGTTGTATGATTATTTTTATATATTTCTGTTTATTATTGAGGTTCATAATAAGACCTTATAAAAATTTTAAGTTTATTTGTTTAGATTCTGTATCAGACTCTAATTTTTTTCTCTCTTGATTCAAGCTGCAAAAATAATAGGAACAGGTTTAGCTACTACAGGTTTAATTGGTGCAGGTGTAGGAATTGGTGTAGTATTTGGTGCTTTAATTATAGGTGTATCTAGAAATCCATCTTTAAGAGGACAATTATTCTCATATGCTATACTTGGTTTCGCATTCTCTGAAGCCACAGGATTATTTGCATTAATGATGGCATTCTTATTACTATATGTAGCCTAATTAATCTAAAAAAAGATAATTTTTCGAGTTAATAAAATTTATTTTTATTACTCCACATAGTAATAATTTATAATAAAAACCATTGATTATAAATTAAAATATATTAATAATTTATAAGAGGTAAAAGTCTAATAAATTAATGTATATAATATATATATATATATTTATATATATATATAATTCATATTATAGTAAAAAAAAATACGTATAATAATAATTAAAGAAGATAAATAATAAAACTAATTTATCTAGACTAACATTTAAACTATAATATGGATAAAATAAAAACTAAAAAAAGCAACATACTACTAATTTCAAATTTTATATTTAAACATTTACTATAAATATAAAATTAACAATTTGCTTAATAAATATTAGCCTAAAAAAAAGTAAGAAATAAATGAGAATTTTAAAAAGCCATCCACTTTTAAGAATGGTGAATTCATATTTAATTGATTCACCCCAACCATCTAATATAAGTTACTTATGAAATTTTGGATCATTATTAGCTCTTTGTTTAATAATACAAATTATAACAGGTGTTACATTAGGTATGCATTATACACCTAATGTTTTAGAAGCTTTTGACTCTGTAGAACATATTATGAGAGATGTAAATAATGGATGATTAGTGCGTTATTTACATTCAAATACAGCTTCAGCCTTCTTTTTTTTAGTATATCTACATATAGGTAGAGGATTATATTATGGATCATATAAAGCACCAAGAACTTTAGTGTGAACTATAGGAACAGTAATCTTTATACTAATGATGGCTACAGCTTTTTTAGGTTATGTTTTACCTTACGGTCAAATGTCTTTATGAGGTGCTACAGTTATTACAAATTTAATGAGTGCAATACCTTGAATTGGACAAGACATAGTTGAATTTATTTGAGGTGGATTTAGTGTTAATAATGCAACATTAAATAGATTTTTTGCATTACATTTTGTATTACCTTTTGTATTAGCTGCATTAGCACTAATGCATTTAATAGCATTACACGATACTAGCGGATCAGGTAATCCTTTAGGTGTTTCAGGAAATATAGATAGAATACCATTTGCACCATATTACATATTTAAAGATTTAATAACAATATTTTTATTTTTTATAGGGTTATCTATATTCGTATTTTTCATGCCTAATGTTTTAGGTGATAGTGAAAATTATGTTATGGCTAATCCAATGCAAACACCACCAGCTATTGTACCAGAATGATATCTTTTACCATTCTATGCTATATTAAGATCTATACCTAATAAATTATTAGGTGTTATAGCTATGTTTGCTGCAATTTTAGCTTTATTAGTTTTACCATTTTCAGATTTATCAAAATTAAGAGGTCTACAATTTAGACCTTTAAGTAAAATAGCTTTCTTTATTTTTGTTGCAAATTTCTTAATATTAATGCAATTAGGAGCAAAACATGTTGAATCTCCATTTATAGAATTTGGACAAATTTCAACTGCTTTATATTTTTCATACTTTGTTATAATAGTTCCATTTATAACAGTATTAGAAAACAGTTTAATGGATTTAGCTACATCAGAGATAGAAACAACAGGTGGAAATGATGATAGATTAAATAAAGTGATACATTGGAAGGGGAAGCAAGGAACTAATATCTAGAAATTTTTCTACAACTAGACCATTAAAAGCGGACCCTGTAACGGCAGGATTAGCTATGGCAGCACCACCTGGAATATCAATGGATTTGTATGTAGCTTATCTTACTGTATTAGTTGTTGTTACTGTTATAGGTAGCTTGTGAAGTGAAGGAAATATAGAGGAACCAGTTAATACAATTATTTTAGGAGAAGAATACTTAATGCAAATTGAGGATATTATTAGTTATTTGACACCAGAGCGTATTAATCAATTATATCTTCATAATTCAGGTGTAATCCAGAACAATACTAATTTTTATATAGACATGTTAAGAAACATGTCTATTGCACACGAAAGAGTCTGAGAAAACTCAGCTGATTTAATTGAAGAATTAAATATAGAAACATTTCCTCATTTTAATCAATTAAGTAATTTACTTGAACTTTGAAGAGATCGAGGTA